GTTGACTTTAATTTAAATTCAATCCACCCCCAATGTATTTTTAATTCTAAACAATTTCCTCCCAATTTTGTTCCCTTTTACAATTTTGTTTCCTAATGATAATGCTACACCGACATTCGCTCATTTCTTTTCTAATCTACCAAAAACTGTATAGTTTTGTTTTTGTATCATTAGATTATCAAATGCTCCGATCATAACAATACTGTCTAAATAACGTTAATAAAATTTTCCTCAAAAGAGGATTGAGATATATCTGAGTCTGTCATAGATGAAACTACGGAATTGTACAATAGGGGAGTAATAATTATAGTCAATAATAAATGGTTGAGAAAATTAACCATTATGTCTAACGCATCTTGCCCAGCCCAATGTTTAAATATATTTGATATAATTTCGATTATATAGCATTCTATTACTACCATACTATTTTAAAAAATAAATAATAATTATATATAAATATATTTTATTTCAGGCCCGTCAACGTGCTTCCGTAAAATGGCTTCTTTCAAAAGCTTTCAACAATCAGACTCCAGATAACCTTAAAGAACCTTTCTATAGAGATCATGAAAATCAAGAACGACTTAAGCCACAAATCATTGTTGAGCTTGGCAATGCTACCCTGTATTGTCAAGCGTTGTCTAATTTGTATTCAGATCCAAATTACCAAAGCTTAAACCATTGGTCGATTTTGCAAACTTTGTCACGGAAAGGAGTTCCAGTGGCAGAATCTCCAGATATGCCAATAACAGAAACAGTTCTGATACAAACAAATCCATTAAAAATTGTAAGTATATAGTGACTTATTTATATGATTTACTTTAGATTAAGTTATATTAATTGACAAAAAAAATTGAAAAACAAAAAAAATTTATTATAGAATGCCCATATGTCTGTGATAGAAGCACTTATGATTTTATATGTGAAAGAATGCACATCCGGAGAAAGAATATTAAATGCAATTCGAAGGTATGTATTCTATAATGATATGCACATACATATACAATAATTAAACTCAATAAAATTATTCACTTTAGAGTATCTGGTAGCAATCCAAATATACAGGAACAAACATTTGAAAAATCTTTGCTATTATGGATTTCGCATGTTTGTGCAGCACTGAAAAAACGCATAGATAAGGAAATAGAAGGTGGTGCAGTCGACGAAAATGTATGTAATCCTTACAATTTTTAAATATGATTCTATTAAATAAATTTTAAATGTAGGGAGTTCGTTTGCAGTCACCAAATATTCCGCCAGTGCAAAATTTTCAAGACCTTTGTAATGGCATTTGTTTGGCACTACTAATTTCCTATTATTGTCCCAAAGTAGTTCCGTGGACTTGTGTACGTATTAATCATTTGCCAGCTGTAGAGGATTCGATATATAATGTATTGATAGTCAGTAATTTTTCTCAAACCCATTTGCCATATACAGTTTTTCATATGAAACCAGAAGATATCACTTATATGAGAGGGTAAATTTAGTTTAATATTTATTAAAATAGTTAAATATTAATTGGTTTTTTATATATACTTACAGTTCAATGAAAACAAATCTTTTAGTATTGTTAGCAGATCTTTTTAATTTGTTTGAAATTCATCCAGCAAAGTGCGTTTGCTATCCCAGCATGGATTCTCCTGGTAAGTCATATATACATATATTTAATTATAGCAAAAAAATTTTATATATAAGTAATGTAGTTCAAATATGTATTGCATATTAAGTTTTTTTAGTTTTTATTTTAATTATTTGCGTAATTCTCAATTCTTAATTTATTTATTTTAACCAAGTAGAATCAATTAAAGTATTTTTAATTGCTAATTTCTTTCAATCACTATCATTTCTAAACACCAGACTTAAGTCCTACTATAGGTTCTTGATTATTTCAACCTATTTTGTTCATCCATAGATGTTTTAAAAATTCAAAGAAATATATCAATATATTTTACTTTGTTCTATATTTGAATAATTCCACATGCTACGTCTAATTATTTTGTATTATTGAACTAATTTGTATCTCTGTCTTCATATTCCTCGACATTTATGAAAGTGCTGATGTACTAAAAAGGTTTTCTGTTTTATTTATTTTATACTGTATTTCCTAACATTTTTCAGTTGTTATCTGGTAGTTTGTTAAATAAATTTTGATATCTAAGATAATGTATATATTGTATTTTATTAGAGCCCACTTTAGGTTTGAAAGTGAAATAGTTGCTTATCCAAATATAGTTACAATGATATAAGAGAAAAAGAAACAAAATTGGATGTTTATAATTATTTATAGATCTTAATATTATTAAATATCGTTGATAAAGTTTATGTGTATATGAAATGACATTTTTATTAACTTTATTTGCTTTATATATTTATCTGATTTTATGTAAAAATTTGCCAACATTTTGAAGATTATTTGACTTCACTTTTAAAGCAGGATCTTACAAAAACTATTAATAATTTTTGAATAACAGCTTTTTATGGTATAACAATACTTTATAATATTAAAGTTTTTATACATACTTCGCCAAATCGCTTTATAGTAAAGTCAAGACTTTCTATATATATTTACTTGTCATTCAATTTTTGTCTTCTTTTTTAAACTGCTATAATTTTTCATTTTTACCTAACACACAATCTCTTTTTTATAATAAACAAAAGTTGAAATTTACTACAGTTTTTATAAAAAAAAATCAGATAAATTCATAATTTAGTCCGTACATGAAATAAAATGGACCTGCTTTTGATCTAAATCAAAATTTTGTTATTCTGCGCTAGTATTATCACTAAGTATATATATTACTGCTCCAAATATTATTTGAACTATTCAAAACCTCAGGATTTGTGAATTTTGAAAAGCTCTGATAAATTTTTGAATGCTCACACTATAACGAACATTTATATTATGCGATCTAAATGTTCAATTTCGTAATGCTCAAACACTTTGAAGTACAAGTATATAGTATATTTATTATCACTTATAACTAATTGTAAATAAGATATAGAAAATCATAGTGATCCATTTTGGAATTAATTTATTGTAATATGTTTTAATAAAATACTACACAATTTACAACAATATGGCTGTTAAGCGGCTATTTGCAAATCGGAAATAAATGGTATAATTAATGTTCATCTGAGTATAAGGTTACATTTAAAATGATTAATAATATATGTAA